CTCCCTGCCCGGCAGGAAGCCTGCTTCTCCCTCTCCCACTCCCCCTGCTTGTGTTCCTGCTCTCGCTCTCTCTCTGTCAAATAAATAAATAAAATATTAAAAAAAAAAGAGAGAGAAGTAATGTTTAGAAAGGGTATGTAAAGGGTGCTGTAGGAATATATAGCAAAAATTTAATTGATTGGGACAGGGAGGGGTGGGGGGAAGCATGGGTGATGGGAAAGACTCCCAAAGGAAGTAATCTTCTAAGCTAAATTCCTTCTTGGGCTTTCTGTAGAGTGAGGACTCTTGATCCAGTCTGCTTGGGCTATGTAGCCCTGTGTGCATACTTCCCCATTTGAAAAATGGGGCTAAGTAATAGCACCAACCTCACAATGTAGGAAAAGAAATCCTGCTTAGGGGCGCCTGGGTGGCTCAGTGGGTTGAGCATCTGACTCTTGATTTCTGCTCAGGTCATGATCTCAGGATCGTGGGATTGAGCCCTGTGCTGGCTCTGTGCTGGGCACGGAGCCTGCTTGGGATTCTCTCTCCCTCTGCCTCCCCATGCCCTTACTCGCTCACACACATGCCCCCTCTCTCTCAAAGAAAAGATATCCTATTTAGTTTACAGTTTCCCAGTGGCTCCTACTGTGCTTGGCACATAGGAGGCATCCTAATATCTGTTAAACTACATACTTAATAAATGTCATCCTAAGAGGAATGATGGAAGAGCTGAAAAGAACCATAGTCCACGAAGTGGCATCATTCAGATATGCATATACCTAACACACATCTGGACCAAAGAGAGAAATGTACTCTTGACTTGAGTTCATTTTTCCCATTCAGTATCACATATTATGAAAGGAAATGGCAAATAGGAAATTATCTTTCTCCTCATCACTAGACAAACCAAGTTGCTGTTTATTTTAAAAATGATACCTCAACATCCTCTGGCATGCCCCATCCCTAGTATATTTTTGACAGTCAGAAAACCAAATTTGTGATCCTGGGAAATTTAACTCACCAACTTCCTGGTAATATATAATAATGCTATCGATTGTCAAATGTAGTGAAACCTACAGAATGCACATAACCCATGACATGCAATATTATTAAAAGTTCAACAAACCTAAGTCAAAACCAACTTATACTGAGGTAGGCCAAGAGTATCAAGTAGAATGAATTGCTCTCATGTGGTTAAAGGTTTTACAATTAGTCTATATTCTTAGCATCTCTCAACTAATCTCTGCCTGGATGTGTGATGATGTTAACCACATAAATACCATTCAAGATGTCACAACCAAGTAGTAGATAATCACAAAGATTACACATTTCTAAAAGTTATCAAAACTCCCACTGAAGAGCTTTAAGGACTATTTGTACTATAATAAAAAGTATTGCAAAGCCACTATATTCCTAACCAAACTTCTCTAATTAGAAATTGTAAGGTTCCTGTTAATGATGTTAAACCCATCAATTTGTTGGCCTCACTACAGTTACATTACATTCATTTATTCATTCCATAAATATTCATCTAGTACTTATTATGTGGTAGATATTTGTTTAGGAACTGAGGATATACCAGTGAACAAAACCAAGTTTCAAAAAAAACCAAAACACCCAAGTTCCTATTCTCAGGGAACTTTTATCCTAGTGTTATAAATAGATATATCAAAGTAAATAAAACAGACTAAGTGGGATTGGAATTAATGATGGGGGAAAATGGGCAGTTGCTATTACTATTTTAGGGTGGTCAGGGAAGGCTTCTCTTCCCTGATATTTAATGATATTTAAGCAGAATCTAAAAAGTGAGGGAGCCAGTCATGTAGCTATTTTGGTGGGAAAGCTTTCTAGGCAGAGTGAAATTGCAAAGGCCCTATGGTAGAGCCTGGTAGATTGGGGGGGGGGCGGTGCCCACAGGGGAGTTAAGTAGGGTATAATAAAGATAGCCAGTAGTTAGATCATGTGAGGGGTCTATAACCTTCAATCTGTGAGCCAAACCTGGCCCTTTTCATACGAGAGACCTAGATTGATTTTTACAATTTTAAAGGGTTGTTTAATAAAAAAAAAATCAGATACTGCAGTAGTAGCAGTTCTTTAGCAGATTCATTCCACCACTGAAAACCTGAAAACAACGGACCACACAGTCTTACTGATTTCAGGTAAAAGATGTCCAGCAAAACAGCAAGCACCAACAAACATAGCCCAGGCAAGAACTGTGCAGCAGTTGAGATCAGAAGCCTCCATAAAAGAACAAAGGTTTCAATGGCATCATCGGACCTTATGTTCTACTGTGAGTAGCATGCCAGGAGTGACTCTTTGCTGACAGGGATACCAACTTCAGAAAATCTTCTCAAGGATAAATCTGCATCATCTTAAACTGGAAGAATGAAACAGTTCTGTGTCTCTTCCTAACAAAGCTAATTACAAGCAGCTCCTTAAAGAGATCGACCTTCAGCTTATTTGGTAACCACTGCTAATAACTAAAACGCTCTGAACTTGGAATAATGAACTCTGAAGTCTTCATTTTCCAAGTTGTCCTTTCTCTAAAATATCCTTTGCTGATTTAATACAGAATTAACAGTTTTGTTCTCCGTTTGGTAACTATAGCATCACATTGGGTTAGTGTTTAAGGAAAGCTGGTCTGGGCCTTTTTAAAAACACAATTAGGGGCGCCTGGGTGGCTCAGATGGTTGGGCATCTGCCTTTGGCTCAGGTCATGATCCCCGGTTACTGGGATTGAGCCCTTCATGGGGTTCCTTGTTAGTGGGGAGGCCTGCTTCTCCCTCTCCCACTCCCCCTGCTCATGCTCTCTGTCTCTCTCTCTGTCAAATAAATAAATAAATAAAATCATTTTTAAAAATAAATAAATAAATAAAATAAAATAAACCACTAAGAAAAGGAAGACAAGCCAGACTGGGAGGAAATATTTACAAATCATCTCATAAAGGCTTATAGCTGAAAGATTTGAACAACTCTTTACTACTTAATAATAAGGGATGCCTGGGTGGCTCAGTCGGTTAAGCGTCTGCGTTTGGCTCAGGTCATGATCCCAGGGTCCTGGGATTGAGCCCCCCGGGATTGAGCCCCCCATGAGGGATCCCTGCTCAGTGGGAAGCCTGCTTCTCCCTTTCCCTCTCCCCCCATGGCTCGTACTCTCTTTCTCACTCTCTATCTCAAATAAATAAATAAAATCTTAAAAAAAAACCCAAAACTTAATAATAAGAAGAACACCAACTAAAAATTGGGCAAAGAATTTGGATAGACTTTTCACAAAAAAGATATACAAATGGATAATAAGCATGTGAAAAGATGCTCATTTTCATTATTCATTAGGGGAATGCTAATTAAAACCACACTGAGGGTACAATTATACACTTATTAGAATGGCTAACATTAAAAAGACAGACTATAACAAGTGTTGGAGAGGATGTGGAGAAACTGGAACCTTCACACATTCACTGCTGATGAAAATTTAAAGTGGTACAGCCACTGTGGAAAGCAGTTTCTAAAAGAGTTAAACATAAACTTATTAAGCAACACAGAAATTAAACTGCTAGGTATCTACCTAAGACTGCAAATACATCAACACAAAGACTTATATGCTAATGTTCATAGCAGCATTACTGGAAATAATCCAAATGTTCATTGGCTGGTGAATGGATAAACACAATGTGTTATTATCCATTTAATGGAATACCATTTGGCAATAGAAAGAAAGAGTATTGATACATGCTACAACATAGATGAAGCCCCAATGTTATGCTAAGTGAAAGAAGTCAGATGCAAAAAATCAAATACTGCATGATTCCATTTAAGAAATGTCTGGAAAGGGCAAATCTACAGACAAAAAGTACATCAGTGGCTGGCTGACTGTTTGCAAAGGGGCAAAGGGGAACTATATAGTGAAAGAAATTTCCTAAGTAGATTATAGTGATGTTGCACAGCTCTATAAATGTACTAAAAATCATTGCATTGTAGGCTTACAATGGAGGAGTCTTATGGAAATTATACCCTAATACCACATTAATGTATGGTGATTATACACTAAAGCTACAAATAAATAAATTTTGTAAATGTAAATAATTGCAAATTTTGCTGACTTGACAGAGCTGGTAAAGTCACCATATTAGCATTAGAAAAAAACATTTTAATATATTAGGTAATTAATTAAAATCATTAGATGAAAAGCCTTACCACAGGCAATTGAACAAATCTTTTAACAATTACCAAAATTCACAATTACCTTAATAAGAGCTCTTTTGGTGAGTTTCTGGTTAACTTCAGGCTTATTTAGTATGTTCTTTGCTCTATGAGCATATTCCAATGTACTCAGAGTTTCCTGTGAAGAAAATGCCAATTACTAAAGATATTACAAGAATAATGTAGTTCTGATATATAAAATGTACTGTAAAATAACTTACAAGAAAAAAAATAACTTACAAGAAATAATTTATGGTTGTATCTAACCTAAAAATCTATCATCCACTAGGACCACTATACCCTAAGAATTTTTTACTTCAGTCTTCACACTCAATGAACCCCATCAGCTGATGAATAAACAAAACATCCTATTATCCATACAATGGAAAATTACTCACCTACAAAAAAGAATGAAGCATGGATACATGCTAACCACATGGATGAACACTGAAAACATGCCAGGTGTAAGAAGCCAGTCACAAAAGAACACTTATTGCATAATTCCATTTACACGAAATGTCCAGACTAGGCAAATCTATAGATTAAAAAGGTAGGGTGGGGCACCTGGGTGGCTCAGTTGGTTAAACGTCTGCCTTAGGCTCAGGTCATGATCTCAGGGTCCTGGGATCTAGCCTCACATCGGGCTCTCTGCTCCTTGGGGAGTCTGCTTCTCCCTCTCCCTTTGCACCCTCCCTTCCCAGCCCCCCTCCCCACCGCTTGTGCATGCACTTTCTCTCAAATAAAGAAATAAAATCTTAAAAAAAAAAAAAAAAAGAAATATTTTAAAGTAGGTTAGTAGTGACCTAGGGCTGGGAGTGAGGGCAAATGGAGAGTGATTCCTAATGGGTTACAAGGTTTCTTTCTGGGGTAATGAAAATGCTCTAAACAGACTTTAGTGATGGTTGCACAGCTCAGCAAATACATTAAAATCATCGAATTACATACTTCTTTTTTTTAAAAGATTTTATTTTTTTTTTGACAGAGAGAGAGACAGTGAGAGAGGGAACACAAGCAGGGGGAGTGGGAGAGGGAGAAGCAGGCCTCCCGCTGAGCAGGGAGCCTGATGTGGGACTCGATCCCAGGACCCTGGGATCGTGACCTGAGCCGAAGGCAGACGCTTAACGACTGAGCCACCCAGGCGCCCCTCGAATTACATATTTTTAATGGGTGAATTTAATGGTATGTGAATTATATCTCGGTAAAGATGTTTTTTAAAATGAAAGGAGAGTTAGAGACCTTATAAAACCTTTTGTAACTCCATTTAAAGGAAACAATCATAATAAGAGATTTCACCATCTTTTTTGCTTCTCTTGGTTTTACCACCTGTTCTCACACATCCAACCCATCTTCAGTGCCCTCTAAGAGCTTCTACAACACTAGCATTCACTTAACCCACTTTTAAGTCCTCACTTAAATCTCTGTAACCCGCCCCCCATCAGGCTCCCTGTTCAGCAGGCAGTCTGCTTCTCCCTCTCCCTCTCCCCCCCACTCATTCTCTCTCTCAAATAAATAAAATCTTTAAAAAAAAAAAAAATCTCCATACCCCATGTAACCATGCACTGCTAATGACCACAGCAATTTCTTTTGAAGACTGTGTGGGAAAAGCCATTAAGTAATTGGCTTTTTAAGATTAAAAACTCTGCCAGGAAGGAGAAAGACAATTTTTTCAGTGGTGTCCTCCTCTATGTCCATGTGTAATATCCCGATTCTTTTACTCTTGCTTAGAATGAATGAAGCCAATTAATGAACTTTGTAAATATGTGATAAAAAAGTAAAATAAATTATGTGATAGCTAAATAATAATTACACCTACTACACTTGCAGATACCTATTAAAGGGCTTACCTCAAGATTGAGAGATGCAGGAGAAATTGTTGCAATTATAGATGTTCTTGTACGTCCCCCAAGAGAATCCTGGAGGATTCTAGTTAGTTTAGATTCTCGATAAGGAACATGAGGTGTTCTTTCTACAAGAGCAGTAATAACCCTTCCCAAAGTCAAAAGGGATTGATTGATATTTCCAGCTTCCCGGGCTCTCTTGTCAACTGCTCCAGAACGGCCAATGTTCTCACTTCCCGCAAGATCAACCTTGAATTTCGAAAACAAAAGTAGGTTGTTAGTTCCACTGGATTTGGACACAAAGACTTTCATTCTCAAATATAATATATTAAATAGCTAGCAAAATAACTTTTTTATAATTAACAATCCACTACAAAGCTAATTACCTAGTGACTTCAAAACTATTGTCTAGAAGTACAGAATTTCAAGCTGCTCCGAGGTGGTCAAGAATGAAACAGTTGAGGGGGCCTGAGTGGCTCAGTCCATTAAGCATCCAACTCTTAATTTTGGCTCAGGTCATGATCTCAGAGTCACGAGATCAAGCCCCATGTTCAGCTCCTCGCTCAGCCAGATTTCTGCTTGAGATTCTCTCTCCCTCTCTCTGCCCCTCTCTCCTCTCTAAAATAAATCAATCTTAAAAATAAATAAAAGATTCTCTCTTTCCCTCTCCCTCTGCTCCTGCAACCTCTCTCTCCCTCTCAAAAAAAAAAAAGAATGAAACAGTTGAAAAGAACTACCATATGATCCAGCAATCCCACTTCTAGGTATATTATCCAAGGGAAATGAAATCAGTATCTCAAAGAGATATCTGCACTCCCACGTTCAATGCATTATTCACAATAGCAAAGAAATGGAAACTGTCAGCTGATGAATGAAGGGAGAAGAAATGGAGGTGCCTGGGTGGCTCAGTCGTTAAGCGTCTGCCTTTGGCTCAGGTCATGACCCTAGGGTCCCGGGAGAGAGCCCCGCGTCAGGCTCCCTGCTCTGTGGGAGGCCTGCTTCTCCCTCTCCTGCTCCCCCTGCTTGTGTTCCCTCTCTCGCTGTGTCTCTCTCTATCAAATAAATAAATAAAATCATAAAAAAAAAATAGAGAGAAGATATGGTATACATATACAACGGAATATATTTATTTAGCCATGAGAGAGAAGGAAATCCTGCCATTTGTAACAACATGGATGAACCTAGAGGATGTAATGCAAAGTGAAATAAGCCAGACAAAGAAGGACAAATACTATATGATCTCTCTTATGTGTAGAATTGAGGAGGTGGGTGGGGAGAAGGAAAGTTCACTGAAATGGAGAGAATGACGGTTACCAGGAGCAGGGGAATGGGGGAGAAGCAGATGCTGGTCAAAGCGTATAAGCCTTCAGTTATAAGATGAATAAACTCTGGGGATCTAATGTACACTATAGTGACGACAGTTAATAATACTATACTGAAATTTGCTAAGAGTAGACCTAAACATTCTTACAGCACCCCCCCCAAAAGTAACTATGTGAGGGGAAGGATATGTTAATTAACCTGATTATGGTACTCATTTCTCAAAGCGAACATACATCAAATCATCACATTGTACACTTTAAATACATAATTTTATTTGTCAATTATACCTCAATAATGCTAGAGGGAAAAAAAAAGAATGAAACTAGTATTAAGGTAGATACTTACCAAGTTCAACTTTCCAATTTTAACAAGCTCCTCTCCATCAATTGTAGTTTCTTTCATATGTATTGTAACAGAGAAAACTGAGTGGGAACGACTAGAAAACAAGATCAGATTGTCCAGTCATTATAATGTAAAACATTATTTGTTTTCTATAAAATATTAAAAAGAGCAAAGAAAGATCAAACTCGGGGCGCCTGGGTGGCTCAGTTGGTTAAGCGACTGCCTTCAGCTCGGGTCATGATCTCAGGGTCCTGGGATCAAGCCCCGCATCGGGCTCCCTGCTCGGCGGGAAACCTGCTTGTCTCTTTCCTACTCCCCCTGCTTGTGTTCCCTCTCTTGCTGTGTCTCTCTCTGTCAAATAAATAAATAAAATCTTTAAAAAAAAAAAAAAAAGAAAGATCAAACTCCACAAGGCAGAGAAAGATAGTATCAGACAGGAGACATTAATAAGATTTTGGAAGACAGAGGGTAGGTAGAACAATGCTTAGGTTTTTGCTTTCTTGTACTTGCTGCCTCCAAAGGGGACCCCAAAAAGAAACTACCTGTAAACACCCTAAAAGACTTAGGAACTAGAATCCTCAAGACCTCTAAAAGCTGGATGTGGGGTCGGTTTGGGACAGTTGCCTGGTATGTCAGAGGAGAAGGCTTGTAATCAATCTTCTTATTTATAAGAATCTCTTGAAATATGTCATTACCATAAATTCAAACAGTACCACACAAGTCATCAGATTACTTGCTTTCAATGTCAATTGTTGTAAAAATATATTGCTCTGCTTTGAGAATGTCATCAGAAATAGTTAACACCCTCTCTTGAAAAGCAAATGGTAAATAGCAATGATTACTGAAATACTACAAGATAATCACCACTAGACCATAAAGTGTTCCAATGTCTATCTTATATTATATATTGACATTCAGTTTTTATCTGAGGGATACAAAAGTTATATAGACAACCAAAGACCTCTTTTATTCCTGTATCAATGACATTTGGTGAACATTCCTATGTTTGTTAATGTCATTGATGATTAGTGAGGAATATGATAATTTTTAATTTTCTTATTTGCACTTTTCATGTTACTTGGAAAGTTTTATAGTAAGAATCATATTTTATTTATTATTTAAAGTTACAGAAAAGGGGAAGGGCACAGGAAAAATATAAAGAAACTATAAATCTGAATTCAATATATATTTCATATTTTTCTATCATTATTTACCCATTTCTAATCCAAGATTATGGAATTAACGCAATTAAGCATAGAAGTCAACTATGATTTTGGAAACTTTACTGTTTTCCTTCACTTTACCACATACATTCATAAAGAGACCTTTACTCAAGTCTACATATAAAAAAATGAGTCCTAGGGGTGCCTGGGTGGCTCAGTTGGCTAAGCATCTGCCTTCGGCTCAGGTCGTGATCCCAAAGTCCTGGGATCAATAAAGTCCAGAGTCGAGCTCCTTGCTCAGCAGAGAGTCTGCTTCTCCCCTGCCCCTACGCACCCCCCCCGCCGGCCCCCACTCATGCTCTCTGTCTGAAATAAATAAAATCTTAAAAAAAAAAAAAAAAGGAGTCCTAAATTATACAAATTTATGAAAAAGCAGGAATTTATTTAAAAGAAAGGTATTTAGAGAAAAGAAATATTACTTAGTCTTAAACTCCTTCCTCCAATATATAATTTTTTAAATGGAAAGCTATTATAGGAAAATGTAATTAAAATCATAAAAATCACCCATAATGTCATGATTTTCATTTTCATCTTATTTTTCTTCTTTAAATGTATATGTAATTTTTTATAGAGTTGCAGGAATTTCCAGTTATAAGGGAGCAAAGAAATAAATGATCTAATTTTTTTTTTAGGTTTTATTTATTTAAGTAATCTCTACACCCAACGTGGGGCTCAAACTCACGACCCCGAGATCAAGAGTCACATGCTTTTCTGACTGAGCCAGCCAGGCACCCTGAGATCTATTTCTAATAATTATTTTGTAGGTCAGAGAAACTGATACTCAGATAAATTCACTTATTTCCTTAAGTCACATGTTTGGTTAACTCCAGAACTAGAACTAAACACAAATATCTAACTCCCAATCCATAGCTCTTTTAATTACACTCTGATGCTTCCTTCAAAGACCAGCAGAAAAAATATCCACCTGACTTGGTAAACTGCTTTTCTAGAAATTGGGATTCATTCTATAGGGGCTACTATCAGCTATGCCCCTTTCTACCCTGGAAAGCCAGTGTTAGTGACCATGTCTTCCTATATTAAAATGAAGCCATATGAGAAAAGTTTATGTTTTTTTATATTTTTCTAAAATGTTGGACAACCTAAATATATGTAATTTTTGTCAATCATACTACAATAAAGCTGGAGAAAAAAAATCAAATGAAGCTATCTGACTTTCTTCTAATTCTTATTTAAACCATGGGCTTTCAAACTTTGTTCTAGGTATCCATGGGCACCCCAAAAAAGTGCTCAGGGAAAACTTTCATGAGGCTGAGGAGGTAAGCCTCTGAGCATCCCACCCTCAAATCGACTACAGCAAGCACATGTTAATCTAGGCTCCTGTGTACAATTTCATTTGAGAAAAAATAATCTACTTAAAAAAGTTTAATACTTCTTCTCTAATTCACTTGTCTTTGTTCCCTTTTCAACATTCTTCCAATACTGGTGCTTGCCTCTAAATCTCAAGCCAATTACTAAAGCATGAAATCAAGCACACATACAATCTAGTATGCGACTCACATACTTTGACCCACCCCAATTTGACTTCCCATGTTAAAAAGAAAATGGAGGGGCGCCTGGGTGGCTCAGTTGTTAAGTGTCTGCCTTCGGCTCAGGTCATGGTCCCAGGGTCTTGGGATCGAGCCCCGCATCGGGCTCCCTGCTCTGCGGAGAGCCTGCTTCTCCCTCTCCCACTCCCCCTGCTTGTGTTCCCTCTCTCGCTG